TCGCGTATGATTGCGAAAGCTTGGCCTGCTGAGCCCGAGTGCCCAAACATGGCCTGACAAATAGTTGGGCTCACCGAGATTACGCGTGGAAACTATGCGATGCACGTCGCCGGCCTGCGATGGCGACAACAACAACAACAACACTGGAAGCGTGTTCGCCGAAACCTAACGTTTTTGGTTCGATTTAGAAATGCGGCGTACTTTTATGCGCACGACCTACGGCACGTTCGCATGCTTCCACGCAGCAAAGCTGAAGTTGCATGTCGGTGTCAACGGATGCGCCCCTGCACAATATGCTGAATGTGCCCATCGTTACATCAGCGGACCCGTGCGACAATGACTCGACCGCGCGAATTGCGGGCGCGACGCCTATCAGCCACAACGCCAGGCGCAAAATACATAGCATTGCCGATGGGAATACACAGCCGCGGCAAAACAAACCACGTTGCAATTGTTGTGCCAATTCGTACGCGCGCAATATATCATGCACACCTGTTTGCATATACGCACGCGCGACCTGCAGGGCCGACCGCTCCACGTCGTGCGATCCAATTGCGCTGCCCGCCAACGGGGCCCGCAGCATTTGATTTCAACAAGACTTCTGCGGCGCGAAAACTACGCCAGCGCGCCTCCCAGCTTCATTGGCCGCGCATTAGGTTGCCAAGCTTTGTCTGCTTGCGGGGATTGTTGCCCGCTCTAGGGCGCCCCGTCATCAAATGCCAGCGTTTTCAGAAACGCGCGGGCGCCACTTAACTATGCGCGCGTCGCCGCGCGCATCCAGGCCACACCTGATGAAACGCGCGCGAGACGAGCGTCGGCCACGCCGCTCGGCAAACGGGCGCAATTTAGCGCGGGCGACAATGGGGGGGGGGAGGAGGAGCGATCAAGGCCAGAAGGCGGGGGCGGGCGGGCGAGCGGGGGGGGGGGGCGGGGGGAAAGACGAAGCAGCGACGGGCGACGAACGAGGGCCAAGACTACGAAGAGGTCGCGCGCGACGAAGACGTATGTTTGTCCTCGACGCGCGCGGACTCCCCGTACACTCAACGGGAAACTTTGACATTCGCAAAAATGCCGCGTCTTGGCAGAACGCTTGCAGCGATGCCGCCCTGATGCGCTCCGAATCAGTTCGGAAGGCGTTTAACATGGCGCGCGCGGATGTCGCATGTCAGCATCTTGTTGTTGCGGCTAGCGCGTAACCGAGCAGTTTCCGCGGTTGTTTTCTTCGCTCGGTTTCCCCCCCATTAAATTATGCGCCGCCTCGCTCTAGCACGGCGCTATCGTCGGCGTCGCGGGCGCGCGGGCGGCGGCGCCCTCTAAAGCGAACGCAACGTTGTCGCGGGCGCAATGCGCGAGCGAGAATGCGAAAAGGCCCCAGACCTTGATCGAGCGCAAAAGACACTTATGGATAATCCGCGGGAATGCCGCGAGGACGCGACGACGACCAAAAAAATGAAAAAGCGCTCTTCCGAACGACATCTTTTCAATAACTTTTGGAAAAAGTTCGGCGATATCTTGGCGACATGCCCGCGATATCACAGCGAGTACTTTTAATTATTTACTGAAATCCCTCTCTGTCCACGCTCGTACTTTCTTAACGTTTCCTCACATATTGGACTCGAATTTCGACGCGTTTCACACTGTCGTCACTTCATGCACTTCCTGGGTCCACGCTATAGTCAACTCCGACATGCAACTTCGTTTTGGGTGCGTTGTGTTGCCCGACGCGGCGTTCGTGATGAAGGTTGCCGCATTACCAACTTTTTTGACGCTCTATTTCTTCTCAGACAGATTGTGCAAGCGTATCGCGAACATGACGTGTTTGCAGTCCACGATGAGAGAACACAGTTATGGGCACGGAATTGGGGAACGATTGGTTCTCCCATATTGTTGGCCCACGTATTTGTCATACGCGCCGCTGACATTGGTTATCGTGTCACATATGCCGATCAAGGGAGGCGCATTCGATTGCACCCTCGAGGCATACAATGGGGGGGAGTGTTATTTGCGCCTTGATTACCGTATCAGTCTTTCTACTTGGTCATACGCACATGTGGTACGACCTTTGGCCATGTCAGCATTCGTGGTAATTTCGATCGGCGTACCTGCATCCTACGTGGTATTTATGTGGCCAGGAATCAGACGAGCACGGCGGAAGAGGCTGGTTGCCAGTTCAGACGATGGCGAAACTTGGAATGAGCAAGTTATGAAAGAAACAGGCAGATCTTGGAGTGCCCTCTACGGGCATTATAAGGCTGATTACTGGTGGTTAAAATGTGTTACAATGTATCGACAAATGCTTCTCGCAAGCGTTGCTCTTGTCGCTGGCGAGACTGCGACTGGCTACATATTATTTTCCATATGCGCTGCCTGCTGCTACGCCGTAGTTGGAGCGTTTTGCAAGCCGTACGAGCGAGAGTGCGACAACCGCGCGCAGTTGCTGGCCACACAAGCGTTCTTATTAATGTTTAGCTGCCAGATCGTCACATCAAACACTGCCTACGCGGAAGACGTGCCGCATAATCGACACCGCGCCGAGATTGGAGAAATTTTACTAATCGCCGTCTACATTGGCGTCTTCGTCGGTCTGACACTGTACGTGATCATCCAGACGATCCCCCCAGAGCTGAGCGATCCTGCGGAGCGCGCCATCCGAACAGCATTCGCGCGGTTCTGCTTGAAGGGCAAATGCGACGAACGCCGCGCGCAGGAGCGTTCGCCGCCGCCGTTCAAGATATCCTTGTAAGGGGTGTCACGGGGAAGGGGCGGGACGATTCGCCCGCCATTCTTGTGCGAAGTGGAGGCAGAGAAGAGTCTACCGCTGTCGACTCGTTTGCCGACGCGAGTCTATCGCTGCCGGTGCTCTCGCTTACGCCGCGCAAGATACGCGAAGCGGAGACAGAGGATTACACCGCCATCACCTCTCTTGGCGTCGCGCATGCTGTGCGAAGGCATACGGAGCAAGATATACGAAGCGAAGCGGATAAACGACCAGCCGTTTCAGTTGTGGCTCGGACGCCAATTTTTTTTGACACGTATTGGGTGTCATTTCCGGCTCGTAGTGATTTGCGCTGCAGACGCGTTTTACGCGCGTTGACTCCCGACCGCGGCGCTGGCGCTTCGGCGCTGGTGCTGACAGACTTCGGATGCAGGATGAGTTTGGGTGACCCAGCAATTGCAGAACGCGCGCGTTGTTTGCTCGTCGCCGTTTCCCTCTCTCGTCGCCGGTTTTTGCTCGACAACGACGTCGCAAGCGCGTGTTCGTCTGGTGCACTCGCGGTGATTATTCCACTGAGTGTAGCGCATCAATTTTCATTTTCCTGTCATTTGTGTTGCCTAGCTCAAGAGCTCGGAAGGGGATTGCCCATAGTGCATGTGACAAGTTCGTCTCTGAACAGACCGTTGAGGCTCCCTCCTGAATGGGATTCTTGTGAAGCCGTACAGCAAACGCACTGATCTTGCTTAGCCTTTAAAGTACCCAGCTAGGCCCCTTACGCTCAGCTGCGGCGCACTAGTCCCCCCCAAAAAAAATAAGAACCCCCTACAACTTGTGGGTGATTCCTGACGTTGCATGTATGCGTGCGCATCTGCACGCAACTGTGAGACTGTCACGGGCTGAAGCTGGCTAGAACCAAAGCGCGCGCGAAGCGCGCGCGTGGTTCTAATTGAGATGTTTCATTCGGCATGTTGACTGCGTGATTTTGTCTTGCGCGCGGAAGCGCGCGCATGTGGCCGGCACAGTATGTTTCATACAGGGATCTTGACTTAGATCCACACATATCCACCACATTGTATCAGTTACGTTGGGCCGCCCCCCGGCCTCACCGCATTTTGTCACGCATCTGATTGATATGGTGTCGTGCCATGGCCAGATCCAGCGCACTATCGAATTGTGCAATTTCACATGTCGGATTGACGTGGGGACCATGGAACCGATGCTAACTTACAGGGAACTGGCGGTGCCCGATTGTGCCTGGTCCAGTAATCGGAGACCAGCGTTGCCATATTTGTCATGTTTGTCTGTTGTCTCGTATGTGTCTTGCTATGATCGCTCGTTCTCTCTATGTTTCGTCACTCAAGAAATGTTGAGGGCTGTCTGACTCCGAGGTGACATATGACAAGAGTTCCCAACCCGCCTCACCCGCCCTGCATACCGTGGTCGCCACGTCCCAGGTGTCCCAGTGATCGTTGGGTGTCCCGCTTCGCCTCGCCGACGAGTGACGACATTACGAACATACCGCGGCCGTCAGGCCCCAAACATTCTGGTGATCATTGGTTTCCAGCCTCGTGTCCTCGACGAACGACGATACAATGTAGACCCGAAACATGTCGTGACAGTAGACCCGAAACATGTCGTGAGAACACGAAAGGGACCAGCACAGAGAGTAGCGACACCAAGCTTGTGCCATAGTGTGCCTGAGTCCAGAGGCCACGGGCAACGACCAGAGACCACGACCAGAGTCCACGGGCCACGACCAGACCAGAAGCCTCGACCAGAGACCACGGGATACGGCCAGATACCACGGCCAAACCTATTTTGGATCGCACAGGCCACGATCAGAAGAGGAGGAGGAAGGAGGGAGGAGGATGAGGAGGACGGAGGAGGGAAGGAGCTTCTGCAGCGGTTGGACAGAGGACTGCAGGGGCCGCGTGCGATCGCCCGAGCTCGACGGTGCGAAGCAAAAGCACAGGCATCGGGGAGAGGAAACAGTGAGCGGAGAGCAGAAGGAGCAGGAAGCGCATGAACGCATAAAGAGAAGGGCGCGGATGAGGAATGGGAGGAGAAAGGGGGCGAGGGAGGAGGCTGCGGTGGAGGCGGAAGGGGAGGCAGTAGAAGGAGTGAGGGAGGTAAGAGGGAGGCGAGACGCCTCCTCCTCTTCGTTCTCATCCTCCTCAGTCCTCCTCGGTCCTCTGCCCTCACGTCTCTTCTCCCCCTTCCTCTCTACACGGTGCTTTCCTCCTCGACCGCGTCTTTGTCATTAATTTTCTGTCCTCTCCTCGAGGCGACAGCACCACGAGCCGCCTAGCGGGTTGACGGCGGCTGCTGGTTGCGGTGCGGGCTTGTTGTTGGAATTAGGCCCCGCGCCCGTCTTGGGATCAGGGGGGGGAGGGGGGGATGTGAAAGGGACGTAAGGGGATGTCGGGATGTAAAACGTGGAGCGCAATGTGTGTACGACGTGATGGGTCTTCGGCCACGGGGGCTCAGTTGGATGCTAAGAGGTCGGGCGTTGGCGGGAATGTCAATCGCCATTTTCAGAGTCGGAGGGCTCTACGGCCAACCACCGAGGGAAGGACGCAGTGCTCCCTCAGAGTTAACTTTGCGTCCTTGCTTGTCCGGCCTATCCCTGGAGTCGCAAATTTTACCAGTCGATTTCGCACGGCAAACACAAGGGACCCTAGGGATGAAAAAAAATGTCGAGCTATTGTTTGATTATTGACAGTCGCCAGCTTGCCACCACCAATATGGTAATATGGTGGATCACATCTGCCGAATGAAGGTGATCCCTGATCTTGGTGATGAGGGTAATGCAGTTCGCAGCCGTGTAGCGCACGACGGGCCACCAAGTCTCAAGTTCATAAGTACCTTGAGCTGCAGACCAGGCTTTTGACGCATCCAGGGTGTTGCTTCTGCTTCGGGCTCCTTGTTTGATCTTGAGCTTGAGACTAATGGCTTAGCTTGAGGTCCGGATTCTGGGCTTCGCGTGTAGGAGGTTTCAGGGAGGGTATGTGGCGCAACACTTGCAACGATGACCATTACCAGAAACAATGTTCTTTTGCATTGCGCATCTCTGTTTGAGCTTGAGCTTAGAATTTGGGGCTTCAGCTGGAGCTTAGGATACTGGGCTTCGCGTGTGGGTTGGGACATAGTTGAGGAGGTTCAGAGAGGGTGTGGTGCCAAAAACCAGCGACGACCAGAACCAGAAGTTTGCTGTTTGTGCGTATTTGTTTAAGGTTGAGCTCAGGAGCTTTAGCATCGCGTGGGAGCCCAGACAGTGGTTTATCATTATAGTTATTGATTATGTTCATGTTGCGTTGTTTTTATGGTCTCTTCACGAGTGTTTTCTTTGTGCTGCGGTCTTTCCTACCAGCATTTCTACGCGAGTTTGTGATGAGAGTTCCCATGAGTCGTGTGGATGTGCTTGTTTTTACGATGTTGGCTGCTTGTTCACCGCACCACTGGCCCCCCCCTTCCGCGCATAGGCTTCGGGCCATGGCATATGATGCGCCCCCCCCCCCTTCCTGGCCCCAGCCACCCTCCTCGGCGCTTCGAGTTTCCCTTCGTTTCCGCTCCATCGTAACGATGACCTCTCGCCCCCTCATTTCTTCCGTGCCTCTCATCTTTATTCGTTTCTTCCCCCCTTCCATTCGTTTTCTCCCCTCCATTCGTTTCCTCCCCCCCCTCCATTCATTGCCTCCCCCCTCATCTCTTCCGTGCCCCTCCGCCCCCTCTTATGTTCTTGTTCGTCGGCCTCATCTTCTTGCTCCCTCTCCTCTTTTCTCCGTGAGTGCGACTGCCCCGCATGGACGGGCAGGAGCAGGGACGAGGAGCACAATCAATTCACGAGGAAAAAATGAGGGTCAAGAAATCTCAGGAGCCTGTGCCAGCGTGGATTCCAAAGAGTGGGTCCTTGCACTCTGGATGTGTAAAAAAATGTAGTGTGGCTATTTGGTGCAAGCTACCTGTATGTGGTGTCTGCTGTGTGGTGCACGCTATGTGATGTATGCAGAAAAAGGTGGTGCAAGCTATCGAATGACCTTCGGCCTATCCCGCCACCGTGCCTTGATTGTGGGTCAGAGTCCTCAGGGATGCTCTTAGGGTCTTTTCGGAGCGCTCTCGGGGGCCTCTTGGGGGCTGTTTGGGGAACTCTGGGGGGCCTCTTAGGGGCCTCTTGGGAGCCTCTTGGGGGCCTCTTGGGGCTTCCTGGGGGCCTCTGGAGGCCTCTCGGAGGCCGAGGGCTCGAAATGTCCTTTCGGGTCCCGCGTCTGGGCCCCCTCTTGGAGCCGTCTTGGAGGCCCCTTGGGCCGTCTCGGGGCAATCTTGGGGGCCTCTTAAGCCGCTGTGGAGCGTCAGAAAGCCGAGAAGGCAATAACGCCAAAATCTTTCAACACCGAAGGAACAATCCACTGACCCAGTCGGCGTGTGTGAAAGGCTTTTCGAGGACGCGAGGCCAGCCCAACCCAAACTGAAGTATGCCAGCCTCCTTTGAGTCGTTGCCGTCGTCGTAAGGGCATTCGAACAAATTTGGGGGATCGAGCAATGTCGTAATTACGTCGGCCCTCCCTTTTGTCCATTCCCCGCTGGGGCGGGGGGGAGTTCTGGACCCCGTGGGTCCCAGGGGGCGTCCGCCTGGTGCGGGGGGGGAGCTCCAGTGGGGGCCCCGAGCTTGGGCGATCCCCCCTGTGCAGAAGGAGGACAGGAGTCTGGTCTCCTGGTCGGCAGGGGAGCTTGGGACCCGCCTCGGCTCCGGCTCCGGCCCCAGAGCTGGCCCTGGTCCCGACCCCGGCCCCGGTCTGGATGCAGGCCTCGGCCATGGTTTCGGGGCCGGCCCCGGCCCCGGCCCCAGGCCCCAGGCCCGGCCCCGGCTGCGGCCTCGGCCCCATGCGGTCCGGGCCCCGGCTCGTGCCCCGGCCCCGGCCCCAGCCCCAGCCCGCCCCGCGCGGCGGGCAGGGGCCACAAGGGGACCGAGGCGCAGGCCCAAGACCCCGCGGGGGGAGGAGAGGGGAGGAGGCCCCCAGGACACTTCAAGAGGCGGGCCTCGGGGCACTCCAGAAGTCCGCTGACCCCAGACCACCAGCCCCATGGTGACCACGAAGTCGTCGACGTCAAGGTTGCGTGGGGGGTGGCGGTGGAAGGGCCAGGGCGCGCGCTGATGACAGCATGGGGCCAGGGAGGGCCCCGCCAGGGCCTCTTTCGCAGTGTGTCTCGATGTACTCGGCAGGGCTCGGTCATTGAGCAGATCACCTCGCACTCGTCCTCTCCAGCCTCGTCGCCGTACGTGTCCAGGTCCTTGCAGTTGATGATGCTCTGTACTTCTCCGAACTCGGTCTCGTAGTCCTGAGTAGTAATGCGTGCCGCGGAATCCCTGACGTACTGGAGTTACGGTAGTTGACATGCGGTGATGCCGACAATTTGCGTGTTAGCAGAAGTGTGAGTAAGGACCGCAGGGATTCGACAGTTGGAGCTAACGTAGTATATTGAGATGATCGCCCTGATGATGTTGTTGCTTCGGAATAGTTTGTCGGACGTTCCGACATTCATGGAAAGAATTCCCCATGGGAAGGCTTGGGACCTCTTCTGTGCATGTGATCGTAGTTGAGGTTGTCGCCGCACTCGATGCGAAGCGTTGTGCTGGGAATGAACAGAGTGAGGGGGGTGAACGGTCATTCACTGTCCCTGGGTGTGTGGCTGAAGTGGGGTTGTCGTTGCTATTGTTGCTGTTGTTGCTGTTGTTGCTGTTGATGCTGATGTTTATGTTTATGCTTCTGTTGATGTTGTTGGTGTTGTTGTTTTTGTTGTTGCAGTTGTTGTTGGTGTTGGCGTTGGCGTTGGTGTTGGTGTTGTTGTTGTTGTTGTTGTTGGTGTTGGTGTTGGTGTTGTTGTTGTTGAAGTCTCATTCCTGAAGAATGTTTATTGCTCATCCCCCTCACCGGTGCATACTGTTTTTTTCTCAATCAAAGTTGGCCCTCGACGCTCGCACCTTGTTTTTTGACAGGGAAAGTCTTCGTGCTCAAACTGGGCCCCTGGCCCTTCGGATTACAACAACAACGGTTCCCGCCTGAGACCTCCTCCAAATTTGCTCAGGACCCCAGCTCCTGAGGCTTCCTCACAATTTGCTCAGGATCGGTGCTCCCGCTTGTGACGTCTTCGCAATTTAGGCAGGACCCCCGCTCCCATCTGAGACTTCTCACAATTTACTCAGGAACGGCGCTCCCGGTTGAGACTTGATCGCAATTGAGTCAAGACGCCCTCGCAAGTTAATCAAGACCCCCGCTCCCGCCAGAGGACCCCTCACAGATTATTCAGGAATTGCGCTCTCGCCTGTGACTTCCATGCAAATTATGCAGTAATCGCGCTTCCGACGCTCAGGAAACACGCTGCGCCAAGGACACCGTTACAGTTTATTTAGTATTCGCGCTCTCGCCATACTCAGGCATCCCGCTTGAATGTCCCACCCGCCCGACCCGCCCGTCGGGGGATCGCCTGCCCGTCGTGGGCTCCCGCCCGAGTCTTCCTTCAGGAACGGCGCTTTCGCCTAGGATTTCCCCGAACGTTCACGCTCTGACCTTCCTGCTCCTCCTCCCTCTCCCTCCTCCCTCCTCTCCTCCGCACTCTCTCCCTCCTCTGTTCCGTCATCCTTATGCCTCTCTGCTCTATCCCCTCTCCCTCCTCTCCCTCCTCCCTTCTCCCTCCCTTTTCCTGCCTCCTCACTCCCTCTTTCTTTCTTCTTTATGTCTCTCTCTCTCTCTCTTTCTCTCCCTTCTCTCTCTCTATCTCTACCTCTCTTATATGTTTTTCTCTCTCTCTCTCTCTTTCTATCTCTCTCTCTCTGCCTCTAATCAACCGCCCCCTCTTCGCTCCTTGTTCTCCTGGCGTTTTCCCCCCGTCCCTTCCTCCCACTCTCCCTCGTTGTCCCCCTCTTTTTGCAGGGCATGTACGCCCATGAAGGATTGTCCGCCCGTTCAGGTTTGCCCGCCTGTCTAAGCTCGCCGCCCCCCGCAAAGAGAAATAATTCCCCCAAAGGGGGTGTGATCGAAGACAAAAAGGGCGGGTATCGAGGGTGTGGGGAATTCGTTTTGAATGACACGCGGGCAAGTAAGAGCGAACAATATTATAATTAATGCTGTTGTTGTTGATGTTGCTGTAATTGAATATTACGTACTCAACAATTGTGACTGTTGGACCCCTTGAAGGCGCCCTGGCGCTCTCGCCGAGGCGTCGACTGCGTTTGCATCGAAAATGAGGCTCACGCTCGAGCGGTTTGGGGGACCGCCAAAACTGGCCCCCCAACAACAACAACGCTCCCGGTCGAGACTCTGTCCTTTTCTTAACTCAGGGCCGGTGCTCTTGCTCGCCGCCGAAAGCAGCCGTCTCAACAACACTGGCGCTCCCGCTCGAGATTTCCTCCCGTTCTACTTTGGATCGGCGCGCCACCCTCTCCCCTCATCGGAACAACAACGTTCCCGGTCGAGATTCCCTCCCTTTTATACTCAAGGCGGTGCTCTTGCGCGCCGCCGACAGCCGCCGTCCCGACAAAACCAGCGTTCCCGCCCGAGACTTCCTCCCGCCTTGCGCTGCTGAGTGCTCTCTTTTGAATTGGCGCCGCTCCCAGCAAGAACAACGCTCCCGCCGGAGGTTTCCTCCCTTCTTCCTCAGGACGGTGATATTCCTCGCCGCCGACAGCCCGCGTCCCGACAAAGCCACAGCTCCCGGACGATATTTCCCCCCCTGTTCCTCAAAGCGGTGTCCCTCGTCGCCGCCGACAACCGCCGTCCCAACAAAACCCGCGGTCCTGCTCGAGACTTCGGCTTGTTTTACGCAGGACTAGCGCCCTAATCTCGTCAGCATTGGCGCCGCTCCCAGCAACAACAGCGGCCCCTGTTCGAGACTTCCTCCCTTTCTATTCAGGGCCAGGTCCTTGCCTCGCCGCCGACAGCCCCCATCCCCACTAAGGCAATCCTGTCGCTCGATACTTCCTTGTGCTTTACCCTTGGCTGGGGCTCCACTGGCGGTTTCGCATCGGCGCAGCAAGGCGCGGGCATACGTTTTCGAGGCGGGATACGTTGAAATTCCTCGGAGGAGGTGTTTGCAAGACCTCATTGGGCGGGATATCAGGGAATGGGAATAACGGGCCCCGCTATAGAACAATAGTCCCAAATGATGTTGATGGTTATCGTGATGGTCGCATGCTTCGTGTGGAAACATCGCGCATGAGGGTAACATGATTGTTGTTGTTGGATGTCAAGTAGTAGACAATTCTTATGGTTGGACCCCGCAGGCGCTTTGGCGCTCTCGTTCCGGCGCCTGCTACTTTTTCATTGAAAATGAGGCTCACGCTCGAGCGGTTCGGGGGACCGCCCAAACCAGTCCCCCAACAACAACAACGCTCCCGTTCGAGATTTCTTCTTTGCTTACTCAGGGCCGGTGCTCTTGCTCGTCGCCGAAGGCAGCCGTCTCAACAACCCTGGCGTTCCCGCTCGAGATTTCGTCCCGTTTTATTTTGGATCGGCGCGCTACTCTTTCTCTCATCGGCGCCGCCCCCAGCAACAACAGCTCTCCCGCCTGAGACTTCCTCCCTTTTTTACTCAAGGCGGTGCTCCTCCTCGCCGCCGAAAACTGCCGTCCCAACAACACCAACGCTCACAGCCGGGTTTTGTTTTTCCCGTTTTACGCTAGACTGGCGCCTTACTCGCTTTGATTTGGCGCCGCTCCCAACAAAAACAACGCTCCCGCTCCAGGATTCCTTCTTTTTTCCTAAGGACGGTGCTGTTCCTCGCCGCCGACAGCCCCCGTCCCGACAAAACCACGGCTCCCGCACGAGACTTCCTCCCTTTTTACTCAAGGCGGTGTTCCTCGTCGCCGCCGACAACTGCCGTCCCAACAAAATCAGCGTTCCCGCTCGAGATTTCGGTTTGTTTTACGCAGGACTAGCGCCCTACTCTCTTCAGCATTGGCGCCGCTCCCAGCAACAACAGCGGCCCTGGTCGAGATCTCCTCCCTTTCTATTGCGAAGGCCTTACGGCCGGTGCCGCCGACCCTGAATGGCGACGACGACGACGACGACGACGAGCGCTCTTGGGGGCCTCTTGGGGGTAGTTTGTGGGCCTCTTGGGAAGCTCTGATGGGGCCGCTTGGAAGCCTCGTGGGGGCCTCTTGGGGCTTCCTGGGGGTCTCTTGGAGGGGGCCTGGGACGTCTTGGAGGCTTCTTGGACGGTCTTGGGGCTATCTTGGGCGTTTTCTGCCGATCTTTGGGCGACTCGGGGCCCTCTTGGGCCGTCTCGGGGGCCATCTTGGGCATTCGGACCTCATTTGGAGTGTTTTCGAAGTTTCTAGGCCGCCCGAGGAAAAACGAATCTGCCCCCCCACCCCCCCCGGGACCCCCCCCGGGACCCCCCCCCGGGACCCCGCCCCCCCTGGGGAAGGGATCAAAGGGAAGGGGCTTCCTTTCGACTCGATTACGACACTGCTAGATTTTTCTCTCGCTCACGAGCTTGGGAAGGAAGCTGCAGGGGAAGGGGACGACGGAGGCGACGACCGACGGAGACGACGACTCGAACAGCCAAGCCCCTCGCACACGCCGACAGGGTCGGCGGATTCAGGGCCAGGTCCCTGCCTCGCCGCCGACAGCCCCCATCCCCACCAATGCAATATTGTCGGTCGAAAGCTCCTTGTGCTTTGCCCTTGGCTGGTGCTCCACTGGCGGTCTCGCATCGGCGCTGCAGGCGCGGGTATGCACTTTCGAGGCGGGATATGTTGAAATTCCTTCCGGTAGCCACTATGTTTTTTCAATTGAATTGCTTCCCCTGGGACTCGCACCCCGATTGGTACAAGGGAAGGGCATTAGGCTCAAATTGCGCTGTTGCCCCCCGGATTGCAACAATAATAGCTCCTGTTTGCGATTTCTTCAATATTAAGCCAGGACCCCCGCTCCAGCCTGAGACTTCCTCGCATTTTACTTCGGAATCGCGCTCTCGCTGGGGAGTTCCTTACAATGGATTCAGGAATCGCTCTCCCGGCGCTCTGGAGTCGCGCTCTCGCTGGAGACTTGCTTGCAATTTACTGAAGAACAGCGCCCTTGCGTTGGAATTCCCGGCAATTTACTCAAGCGCCGCGCTCCGGACACTCAGGCACCCAGGAGTCGCGCTCACGCTTAGGACTCCTCGAAGCTTATTTTTGGAATCGGGGTCTCGCTGCCCTTCGTGGCCCCGTCGCATCTTTTCGTGGCCCCTTTGCTGCCTTTCGTGGACCTGTTGCAGCCCTTCCTGGTCCCCTCGCTGCCCTTCGTGGCCCCGTTGCAGCCCTTCGTGGCCCCCCCTTTGCCCTTCGCTGTCCCGTTGCATCCCTTCGTGGCCCCCTCGCTGCTCTTCGTGCCCCGTTGCACCCCTTCGTGGGCCCTTCGCTGACCTTCGTGGCCCCGTTGCAGCCCTTTGTGGCCTCCTCGCAGCCCTTCGTGGCCCTGCTGCAGCCCTTCGTGGCCCTCTCGTTGTCCTTCGTGGCCCCGTGGCAGCCTTTCGTGACCCTCTCGCTGCCCTTCGTGGCCCTTTTGCACCCCTTCGTGGCCCCCCCGCGGCCCGTCGTGGCCCTGTTGCAGCCCTCCGTGGCCCTCTCACTGCCCTTCGTGGCCCCATATACGTATGCCCTTCGTGGCCCCCGCTCGTTCGCGCCCGTCGTGGCCCCATCTGCATGCGCTTCTTGGCCCTGCTGTGGCCGTTCGTGGCCCCCTCGCTGCCCTTCGTGGCCCCGTTGCTGCCCTCAGTGGCCTCGTCCTTGCCCTCTGCGGTCCAATATACGTATGCCATTCGTGGCCCCGCTCGTTCGCGCCCGTCGTGGCCCCATTGCATGCCCTTCGTGGTCCCGCTGTCGCCCTTTGTGGCCCCCTCGCTGTCCTACGTGGTCCAGTTGCTTCCTTAATGGCCCGTCGTTGCCTTCTTTGGCCCCGCATTATCTGCCCTTCGTGGCCCCAGCTCGTTCGCGCTTTTCGTTGCCCCACGCGCATGCCATTCGTGGCCCCGCTGTCGCCCTTTGTGGCCCCCGTCCTGCCCTTCCTTGCCCCGCTGTCGCTCTCGCTGTCGCTCGTCGTCGTCGTTGTCGCCGTCGTCGTCGTCGTCGTCGTCGTCGTCGTCGTCGTCGTCGTCGTCGTGGTCGGTCCCCTGTCAATCCGTCTTGGGGTCAGGCTGCCGCCGACAAGCGCTGCCGCTGGCCAGGCCGACGGTCCGCGGCCGCCCCGCCGCTTGCCGGGGCCCGGCCTGCAGGGAAGAAAGGTATACCACCCAAAAGGGGTACGGTCGAAGACGAAGAGGGCGGGTATCGATTATTTTTGGAAGTACACGTGGAATGACATTCGAGCATACAAGGGCGAACAGTCTTAAAGTGATTGGTGTTGTTGCTGTTGTTGCTGTCGTTGTTGCTTATGTTATTGTTGTTGTTGTTGTTGTTGTTGTTGTTGTTCTTGTTCGTGTTACCGCTACGCGCCGGTCGCTGAAAACATGTATTTCTGGATTCCCAGATCCCAATCTACTTCAAGCGCCTCCCTACTTCACGAGGACACGCTTTTGCTGAGTTTTGTTTTTCCCTGGGGGGCCTGAGACAACAACAACGGCCCCCGCCTGAGACTTCCTTACAATTTAGCCAGGACCCCCGCACCCGCCCGAGACCCCCTCGCATGTTATTCAGGAGTCGCGCTCTTGCTTGGGACTTCCTTGCAATGTATTCAGGAATCGCTCTCCCGGCGCTCTGGAGTCGCGCTCTCGCTGGAGACTTGCTTGCAATTTACTGAAGAACAGCGCCGTTGCGTTGGAATCCCTGGCATTACTCAAGCGCCGCGCTCCCGACACCCAGGCACCCAGGAGTCGCGCTCACGCTTGGGATTTCCTCACAGATTATCTAGGAATCGGGATCTCGCTGCCCTTCGTGGCACAGTTGCAGCCCTTCTTGGCCCCCTCGCTTTGTTTCGCGGCCCCGTTGCAGCCCTTCGTGGCCCCCTCGCTGCCCTTCGCGGTCCTGTTGCAGCCCTTTGTGGCCTCCTCGCTGCCCGTCATGGCCCCGTTGCATTCCTTCGTGGCCCCCTCGCTTTGTTTTCGCTTTGTTTCGTGGCCCCGTTGCAGCCCTCCCTGGTCCCCTCGCTGCCTTTCGCGGCCCCGTTGCAGCCCTTCGAGGCCCCGTTGCAGCCCTTCGTGGCCCCCATCGGTGCCCTTCGCTGTCCCGTTGCATCCCTTCGTGGCCCCCTCGGTGCCCTTCGTGGCCCTATACATGTATGCATTTCGTGGCCCCCGCTCGTTCGCGCCCGTGGTGGCCCCATTTGCATGCTCTTCGTGGCCCCGTTGCAGGCTTTCGTGGCCCCCTCGCTGCCATTCGTGGCCCCGTTGCTGCCCTCAATGGCCCCGTCCTTGCCCTCCGCGGCCCAGTATACGTATGCCCTTCGTGACACCCGCTCGTTCGCGCCCATTGTGGCCCCATGTGCATGCCCTTCGTGGCCCCAGTGTCGCCGTTTGGTGGCCCCCTCCCTGTCCTATATGTCCCAGTTGCTACCCTCAGTGGCCCAATCGTTGCTTGTTGTGGCCCCGCATTATCTGCCCTCTGTGGCCCCCGCTCGTCGCGCTTTTCGTGGCCCCACGCGCATTCCCTTTGTCCCCGCTGTCGCCCTTCGTGGCCTACTTCGTGTCCTTGTGGCCCTGCTGTCGTTCTCTCTCGCTCTCACTTTTGCTCGTCGCCGTCGTCGTCGCCGTCGCCGTCGTCGTCGACGTCGTCGTCGTCGTGGTCGGTCCCCTGTTCGTCCCCTTTGGGGTCGGGTCGACGGTCCGCGGCCGCCCCGCCGATCAGCGCTGCCGCTGGCTAGGCCGACGGTCCGCGGCCGCCCCGCTGCTTGCCGGGGCCCGGCCTGCAGGGAAGAAAGGTATACCCCCCAAAAGGGGTTCGATCGAAGACGAAGAGGGCGGGTATCGAGGGTTTGGGGAATACGCGTTATTGGACACTCGAGCAGATAAGGGCGAACAGTCTTAAAATTAGTGTTGTTGTTGTTGTTGTTTGGCGTCGTCCCCCCCGCGACCGGGCCCGCGACCCACCCGCCACCCATCTGGACGCCCGAAATGGGTACGGAAAGCATGGGTACAATGCCCAACGGCAGTTCCTGTTCATTTTGAACAGGATTCGCTGTCCACGCCGCCGCGGATTGTGTCCATTCGAGACAGAGGGCCGCCTGCCCAACAGCGGCCGTTGTTGGTTTGGGACAACATTTGTTGTTGGGCAGTGTACCCATTCTTTCCGTACCCATTCCAGGCGTCCAAAACCCAGCCCGCGCCCCGCCCACGACCCATCCGCGACCCCCCCGCGACACACCTTGCGACCCACCCGCGACCCACCCGCGACCCATCCTGCGACCCGGCCAGTGACCCACCCGCGACCCACCCGCGACCCGGCCCGCGACCCACCCGCGACCCACCCGCGACCCACTCGCGACCCGGCCCGCGACACACCCGCGACCCACCCGCGACCCAGTTGCGACCCACCCCGCGACCCACCCACATTGTTTCAAAGATAAATCGGCGCCTGCGGCGGGCTGGTTTCTTCAGAGCCTAGCAGACTGCAGACGTCACCGCCGCCCCCTCTTATTCGCGATTGCGGGGTGCTACGTAGCATACAATGCATCAACTTCTCCCCGCTCGATCCTATCTTCCTAACCTTTGAGAGTGTCCATGTCGTTGATGCCGTGGCCTCCATTTGCATCGTCGGTACGGAAGGTGATACATCCGAAATAGTTTTCACAACACTTACCTCGTTTATTCAGGATGTCCTGTATGTCGTCTTCGTGTCTCTGGTATAGGGTGACGGTCAAAATGACATGCCTCCTGTTCGCTTGGGTCTCTCCCGTCCGTAGCGGCGTACGTTGTGGAATCTCGATGGTCGGTAAGATTGGAGATGGTGACGGTGTAAGGGCAAGGCGTGGCAGGGGGATCACGTCCCCATTGCGAGCATGTTTGGCGTGGTAGAGTTATGATATTAGTTTCTCCTTGTTTTGCTTAGAGGTTTTGACGTACTCCTCGTTGTTGGTAGTGTTTTCTTCTTCCGTTAGTTGCGGTCCGAAGGAATGGCATGCACGCCATGATTTGCTGCATCAGTCAACCGTTCGTTCTGAGATGTTTGAGCAGCTTGGCGTAGGAGTGGAAGTTGTTGCAGCATGTTTGGCAGGATGTACCTGAGGCGCAGTTTCTTGGGTGACTATCTTTCTGTGTTCACGACCGATGCTCACATCCATGTCGTTCTTGGTCCTGGTCGTTATTCCGCAGACGTAGCACAGATACTCATAGTGCGCTGGCTGTTGTTCGTGTTCTACTGCTGCTTGGGTGCCCAGCAACTGCAGCAGTTGGATAGGAGCATGGTTGAGAAGTCGGGGCAGGTAGCGTACTCGGGCTGCCCACTGGTGGTGTCCGAACTCGGGCACGCCGGTGAGGGCGACGACGTCCTTGCTGATGAAGAGGTGCTTCGGTGAGTTGGCCTTTGGTGGTCCTACCGCGACTGTGTAAGACTTGGTGTACTTGGCCGCGATGTGGTTGCGATCTGTAGCTGTGAGCTTTCCCCAGACGTGGCGATTGTATGTCAGCGAAGACTTGGACAGCGCATGAACGTACTTGCTCAGCTCGTGCTCGGCATCGTCGAAAGATTTGCCTCTCCAGTGCCCGTGAAGTGCCGTTCGTCTTGCTGACTCGTTGTCGTACCTCAGGTCCAAGGGTGCCTCCTGCTGTTATCACTGCCCCCAAGGGCTTCTGCTGGTCCACGATCGTAATGGAGCTGTCGAGGTCGCTCAAGTTGATCTTGATAATGTAGTTTGTGCTCGCGCTGGGTTTCTCTGGAGCCAGTACCATTGTAAGAGGTAATGGTATTCGTCTTTTCGTGGTGGGGCTTGGGGCCATGAATAAATGCCGCTCGCAAAGTCGCTCTGCTGATCTTCTGACGATGTCAATGATGTGGTGGTGCTTGGTGGACGAGTTGTACTCCGTGAGGTCATCAACGAATGACATGTTCCGCAACACGCTTCCTTGGTGCGCTGATTTCGAGAACGTCGGGTTGTCTGGTTTGCTTCGTCGTTGATGGCTTTCAGCATGATCGAAAAGTGCGTGTTGAAGGCTTCGTCTGAGTAGGGTACTCCTGGTCGCGTGCTGGTGCGAGGTAGGACGTACTTGCTGATGCCTCTCGCAGTCATCCAGTTAGATGCGCGGTGGTCGGCTAGCAGGGCGCAGAGGTGGGCGCCATCGATGGATCTGTTTAGATAGGCAGGTTGTCGTAGTTTGTCGCGTAATGCCGGTCGAAGGAAAGTCGAGGATCCCGGGGATACCGATGTTGTCGATGGCTTCATTCAGTTTCTCTACCCTTGTGGGAAGCTTGAAACAGAATTCCTTCATCACGGAGTGCTCTTTACATCTGAAAATGAAATGTTTCCCATCTTGCCTCTCCTTCTGCAGTCGTAGAGGAAGGCACACGGGCTCCATTTCCTGGGCGCCCAACGGCCCCATTTCCTTTGTGAAAGTGGGTCGAGTACCCGCCCTTCGCGGCGATGGGCTCGATCGCCATGGCGTGCATTCTGACCAGCAGAGGGTGGGTGAGTCGTGCGACTTGTAATGGTGCTGCGCATGCCATGCCGTCGGCGCATCCGTCGGCTCCACCTCGTTGCCCCTTTATTTTCACGCTGCCCATGTGGCTGTCAGCTCGTGAATGGTCTGGATATTGTCGATCAGCGGCACGGGCTTGTCGTAAAATGTCTTGTCGTTGTAGTTCTTGGCAACGCTGTCTGGGTCGGTGCTGATGCCTATCTCGATTTTGTCCGAATACTTGTATACTCGAGCGCGTGCTCCGACTCGCAATAGGCTCGCCGAGGTTGTTCTTTCTGATCTTGTGTGGGTGGCTGTTCTTTGGGACGCGCCCTCCGAAGGTTAGTCGAGCTCGTCCTTTCTTCCATTCATGTCGTGGTGCATATCCGGCTTCCGATAGGATCATCTCGTCGGCGATCTCCTCGATGCCTTGGTCTTTTTATGGTTTTCACGTTTTTGCTGAAGGACCTGGGCGTCGCGGATGAACTGCGTGAGTGTCTCGAAGATGTGATTGATGCGGTCATTGTCAATTGTTCTTCGGCATTGGTGCTCTGGGAATCGGTTTCTGTCGGTGCGTTCAGCAAGATGGTCTCGATCATTAATTTGGCGTTCCCAGGTAAATCTTGGAGGTCGCTGGCGTCTTCGGGCTTGATCGTAGTATATCGTTAAGCGATCAGCAAGGCCGCGTACTTGATGCGCTTGGCGGCGTTCTTGCTGCCGATTCCGTTCTTCTTGCTAATTCGAATCGTTTTGAACAGAGCTCTCCGAAACCTTACCAAGGCAAACGTTTCATCAGAAATGTATGGTGTACGTGGCGCCTGTCGGTCTTTCTCAAAACACACGTGCGCCGCATTCTTTGTCTCGTTCGTGATATGCAGGGCTTGGTCGTTTACTCCCATGGCCCATGGTGGATGCCTGTTGTTCTCGAATTGTTCCTGGAATTCGCGCCTTGCCTTGTCGGGGTCGAGCTTCTTGTCGTAGAGCCCGGGCTTTCCTGTGTTGTAGGGGTTCTCGTTTGCGTAGGCGATGGTTGCTCAAAGGGATCAGTGGTCGTCTTTCGTCTGGTCGTCGATCGAGTTGTGGATACCGCAGAGCACGGGTGTCTCCTCGATTGCCTCCAAGAAATCTTGCCCGATGAGAATGTAGTCTATCCTGTGGATGGCATTGCCAGAATTCCAATTGCTGCGTTCGGCACGGCTGCTCTTGATGGCGCTGGCTGCCGCCAGTCCGCCGCCACATAGAATCTGACAAAAACTAGCTCCGTTAGCGTTTTCCTTCTGCTGTATACCTTGGTCGCCGATTGTATCGCCAGTGATCTCTCCTGTCCTCCCGTTGGTGTCTATGAAGAAAGTGTTGATGTGATGCTTGACGGTGGCCTTCTCAATGGCGTACCAGAACGCATCCTTCCCCTCGGGCGTAGCATTCGAGCGCGGTGCATGTGCTTTGCAGAGTACGTGTCGAAATCCATGAGCTTTTACCATGACGATCAGGGCGCGGGGGTTGCGGTCGATGACGACGAAGTGGTCTGGTTGGGAGAAGAGGTCACGCTTCTTTGCGTTCCCGTACGGCTAGGTCGTCAAGATGTGAAGTTTTCAGTCCAGGTTGTACTTGTCGTGGCCTCCTGCGATTATATGGCAGGTGTTGGCATTCGCGCTGACAGTCTCCTGCGCATCCTCGTACTCCCCAAGACGCGCGCGCCTCCTGGATGCCAATGAGGCGTAAGTCATAAGTCCTCGTGGTGTAGATTGTGGTGAAATTGCTTAAAGCTTGGCGACGGTGCGCGCGCCGGTCCGGCCTCCCTCCCCTCTTGGCCGGCCGGCTCACACGCACACGCACACACCTATTGAATCGCTTCGCTCATTCCGCCGGCCCATACGGTCTCATGTCTGCCGTTTGCCCGAGGGCCTGGTGTCAATGCGGCGCTTTGGGGGTTCCTGGGGCCGCTTGGGGGACTCCTGGGGCGCTCGGGGGGGCATTTGGGGGGCCTCCTGGGGCCGCTTGGGGGACTCTTGGGGGCCTCCTGAGGGCCTCGTGGGGGCCTCTTGGGGCCTCTTAGGGGCCTCTTGGGGCCTCGTAGGGGCTTCTTAGGGCCGAGGGCGCGAAATTTTGTTTCGTGTTCCCTCTCTGGGGCCCCTTTGGGGGTGTTCTTGGGGCCCTCTTGGACCGTCTTGGAGGCTTCTTGGGCCGTCTTCGAGCCCTCTTGGGCCATCTTGGGGCCCTCTTGGGGGCCTCTTGGGCCCTCTTGGGGCGATCTTGGGGGCCTCTGGGGCCGTCTTGGGGCGTCGGGAACCGAAAAGGTGGAAGCTCCAAAATCTCTCAAAAACCTAAGGAAAAACAATGAATTTTGCCTCCGGGGGCCCTCTTGGGAGTGCTCTGGGAGGCCTCTTGGGGCGTCTGGGGGCTATCTTGGGCGTCTTGGAGCGATCTTGTGGCATGTCGGACCCCTCGTGTACCATCTTGGGGGCCTCTTGGGGGCCTCTTGGCCTTTCTTGGGGCTCTCGGGGACGTCTCGGAGCCCTGTTGGTGCGCTCATGGAGCGCTCCTGGAGCGCTCTGGGGGACTCCTCCCGGGACTCTCTCAGGACCTTGCCGGGTTTTTTTTCGTCCGGGGACCCCCAGGGGCCGCCCCGCGCGCGCGAATTAGAGAATTCTTAACCAGTTACCGGAGATCTTAGCACGCCTCTGGCCCGTTGGGCCGGCGAATTTTAGCAGATCCGCTTAACGGACGCTAACCATGGCTAGAGGCACGTCGTCACTTCGCCGGGATCTCACCGCATCCCTTGAACAAGATGTACACAGCCATCATGACAAGAACATTATGAACCGATTAACCAGAAGAAGCCTGTGCATAATACGACGATCGATAGGCAAAACACTTTGCACAACATCGCCAGGATCCGGGCAACCTTCGAGTCGGAGTCCGCAAATGCTTCCACCTTGGCAAGTTGCACGGCGCCGAGTGAGTCCGTTGAGAAGGCGATGTCGTCAGTGATAACCTCGTGCGTAATCCACACGAAATCCAGAATAGGTTCTGCAATTTCACTCGATGTCGATTTTGCTTCGGTGCGTTAGTTGTGCTTTGCTGCGACGTTGGTGGAATTGTGGTCCTTGCCGGCGATGGCGCCTTGGAAGAAGAATCCGAGGTCGTCCTCCCCAACAATAACTAATGCGAGCTGTCCTCGAAGGACTGGTGCGGATGCTTTGACCCACTTGTTTGTGAAAGATGTAGCCCGGTTCTTGGTCGTATTTGCCTGTAAATGTAACGCTTGAGCATGTATTCGGAGGTCTCGTTGTGGCATTCTTTTTTATATTCAAATATCGGGGTCGAGCTACCACATCGATTTCGATTGGGGACAGCCTCTAGTCGGAGGCTGGCCCCCATCGAAGTCGATGTGGTAGCAGTCGGTGTCGGTTTCAGGTACGGCTGCGGTGTTTGTCTCAGGTGTGGCTGGCGATAAGTTGGTTGGTGGTGAACGCAAGTCTTGTGGTGGACGTGGCGGTGGTAGAGTTGGGCGTCGGAGGGGCTGCATTGCTGTCCCACGTCAGTTGAGCTGTCGGTCGTTGTCGTGATACGTGGGGTCGTTACTGGGATGTGTTGTGGGCATCATGGTGCTGCTCTGCAGCAGCGGTTTGCTCGTCGCTGTCCGTGTCCCGTGGTGCCACGCCATGCTGGCGCTAGGGTCAGTTCCTCTTTCGCTTCGGGGATGGTGGGGGGGGCGAACTACGGCGGACCGCGGGGGCGCGGGGAGTGTCCGTCCTCCACCCCTCGCCATCCCCGCTGGCGGGCGCGGACAGTCCTCGTCCTTCTTCTCCGCCCTTCGAGCCCAGCTCGAAGTTTGCTCTTTGCCTCTCCAGGACCTGCGTTGTATATCTGATCTCAGTATTGTTGGCTTGCTTATTGGGGCGGTCGATCACGTCGGTGCCTTGGGATGCTGTCAAGGTTGCCGACGAGGTTGTGTTGTTTTGTAATGTGTTGTTGCGGTGATTGGCAAAGCGTTTCTCGTGGTAGAGGTAGGTCTTCCCGGTGGTGCTTGCATTCCCTCGGAGGTCTTCTTGTG